GCAGGTTTGGCTCCTGGGGGAGGCTGAGCAGAGCAGGAGCCCCCAAATGCCACGGTGGTAACTTAGGGGGAGGTGAGTGTATGAAGTGAACCGAATAGCTCAGAATAGGCATGGTCCTGTTGGTAAATCACTGTCTTTGCCATCTGCACGGAGCACTGAGGCCGGAAACTGGAAAACCAGCCCTCTATTTCGGCTGTGTTGAGGTGCTCACCTGACTGTGAGGGATTATTCCATTGCTCCTTCCTGCCAGTTACATTCCTCAGCGTTCCATGGAGGAATTCCTGAGGTCCCTGAGGCCTTCGTGGTGAACGTGGCCTCCCGGGGTGCGCGGGGTGGGTCCCCCTTTGCTGCTGGTTTCGAGGCGCACGGGGAGTGAGCGGCTTCGCGCTCCGTGTCTCACCCTCCATCGGCCCCGCAGTGACGGGGCTCACAGGGCGGCCCGGCCACACACAGGGATCTCCTGCCTAAAACAAGGGGTGGATGCGGTGAAGAGAAGGGTTATTGCTTAGTGAGACAAAACCTCCAACTGTGTTTTTGGTTTCCTTTTAGCGCAGATCAGTACGGGGTATCTCTTAGTCGCTGTTTTGAGAGTGTTCAGCTTAGGGATGAAGCGTGTGCTCTGCTTCTTCTTAGCCTCTTCAGTGCAGTTGTGTGCTCCAAACAGTGAACTCCGAACGTGGGGGAGTTGAAGATCGAGATTTAATTCCCATTTCTAAGCCCAAGAGGTTGCTTTTCCTCGTAAAGTTAGGAGTCTAAGTGCATCGTGGTGAAAAACGCTTTTAACATGGTCCTTGGATGGAGTCTGGTATCGATGCTCGTGGTGTGGTTTTGAGCTGTGATCCCACAGCCAGTTACAAAATTCATGAGAGATGAAGTACTACGTCCGAATTTACTCACATTGGTAAGACAGTTACGTGTGTGGGGTATTTATCTTCAGTGTCGCACTGGTTCCGATACAGTGACCTGTCTTCCCAGTCACACCCTTGTATCCCTGGGGGAAAAAAGGGGGATTATTTCAGCTGTTAAGGAAAATACCAGACAAAATGCAGGACCAGAAGAGCCTGAAATTACGTGTTCAGGGCTTGGAGGAAATGGGATTAAACCCAAGAAGCTGTAAGGCGTTCTGCTGGCGCAGCGGTCGGACTCACAGCCGGGTTTGGGATAGAGGGAGCTAAACCAGCTGGGACGGTGTCCAGGCCACGATCCATCGTTTGCTTCCTGCAGCGGGCCTGGGGAATGGGGAATTCCGTTCCCCCAACCTCAGCACTTCAGGGGATGCTCCTTCAGGAAGGGGTTCAGGCACTAATATCTCCAAGGGCCCAAGGGCTGGGTGTCTGAGGTGCATCACGCGCCTGGGAGCCATCACTTCACAAGCTGGTAAAGCCCAGCTTGGTAAGGTCGATACAGCTTTGGTCCTTCCCAGGATAACTCAGTTAAGAGTTGCTGGATGCAGGAATCGCTTAGGAAGTCTGTGAGCAAAGTTACTGGGGAAGTTGCTGTCCTCCAAGCGCTGGGACTCTGTGTCCGTGGGGCTTTGGAGATTCCATTTCGTTTTGGCACCTGATCCTGAAGCTGTCCCTTTGTAGAGTGTAACTGACTTGAACAGTGAACGAAAGTTGGACTTTCAAGCACAGTGATTCCTCTTTCTTCTGCGCGCCGGTAGCAGGAGGTGCATCCAACGTGAACTTACGTACTCTTTGCGTGCAGCTTTTGCTGACTCGCGCTTTTTCTTTTTTGACAGGGAAAACCAGACCTAAATACGACTTTGCCCATCAGACAAACCGCGTCCATCTTCAAGCAGCCGGTCACCAAAGTCACCAACCACCCGAGCAACAAGGTGCGGTCCGACCCTCAGCGGGTGACGGAGCAGCCGCGGCAGGTAAGAATCCGTCCGCTCCCGCTCGCCCTGCGCAGGGGCTGCAACAAGCCGAGAACGGGCTTGTTTTCTGCTGCGAGGTTCAGGTGAGAGCTCCCGCGCTGAAGGCTGCGTATGGAAATGCGTGGGATTCACAGGTTGTTCTTGTAACAGAGGAACAACAGTCGTTTCGCGTGGAAAATAATATTCCTTGATCCAAATCTTCACTCACGCTTAATTCCCACATTCCCGTGTGATTTAGGTGCGTGCTGTGCTCCCTCAGTTGCACATCAAATACAAAAAAAGTCGTGCAGCTTCTTAGTGGAAGTTTCTGTGAAACACACAGTTCTCAAGGAGGGGTATCTCTCTTTCGTACAGAAAAACTTGTGCAAAATCAGTGAGAAACTGCGTTCGAAATCCCTCTTTTTCACTCTGCTGCTTGTACAAACAGAAACCACAGTAACACAAAGCTCACCTTGCACGAGTTCTCCTTCTTTATCCCCGTGACAGCTCGCCTGCTCACGCAGTGCCTTGTTGGTTTTGGTTTTGATGGGGAGGAGGGAGCTGGGAAGAGACAGGAAACTAGTTGGTGAAGGAGTGGCTGTCTGGATAACGTGGTGTGTATCGGGGTGAGGTGTTGCTTTAATCTGAGTTGTGTTTTTGGAGTCGCAGCGTCCAAACCGAAACGCTCAGTTCTGCCTCAGGAGTGCAGGAGCGAGAGGAAAATGCAGAGGCACAATCAAAGTTTTACACTCACGTCACTAACTTTTGAGAGCGTCTCCTCTGAGACCCAGCCTGTCTCTAGCACTGACCTTTCGGACACCTTGAATGCAAGAAATAACATAGGGAATTTAGACTCTGCATCCTGGGAATTCAGGTGAGAAAGAACAAGAAGAGATGTCGAGCCGTATCGGATCATGTTGTTGAGATGACCTTTAGCAAGTTTGGAGGCCTCAGCTACCCTCACTGTTGGTCCCGTGAAGTTCAGAGAGTCCATCAGATCTAAGGATGCGTAACTGCATGTGTCTGGTGGTTCTCCTCACGGGCTTTGGGTTTTCCTTTGGGAATGCTACGCTTGGCGTGCCAGGAATTTCCTTTTGGTCGTGTCTGCTGCACCAGTGGCAGTTACCAAACCGCATGGGAGTTACGGCACCTTCCCGGCAGGAGGAGGGGATGTCGGGCAGGTCGCACCCTCGTCAGTTCCGAACCCTTCGGGGCTTCCCTCTTTGTGCTCCTTCTTCCAGAATCTTCTCTTCAAACACAGTGGCTGAAATCTTTGGGGAACATCACTTGTCTTTTGAGAGTGACCGCCCGGTAGAGGTTTGCAGCCTGGGCTGTCTTCAGAGCTGCCCGGGTCCGATTGTTGCCTCCTTGAGGTAGGTTCTGACAGACCGAGCTGTAGCAGGATCTCCAGGAAGCCATCATCTGCTGGCCACCGTCTCAGCATTCTTTTTGGCAGCAGTGCACGTTAGGAAGAGGATGCTTCCAGAATTCTTATTCCGGGTGCCAGCTCTGCTTGCATCCGATGTGGAGGGGTTAATCTTACGTGTCCAACAGCAGAGCAGACCTTGGAGTGTCTTCCTCCCGCTCTCCTCCAAGCTAGGGTGCTGCCTTGGGCTGTTGTCTGGTTTGTCATCGTTCCGAGAGTGACGATCGACATTGGTGGGAGACTTGGGGAGAGGAGAGAGTAGGTCGTTACGGTTGTTCTTACTTAAATTTGAGTGAGTTTTCGGTCAATTTCAATCCAAACATCTGAAACAAAGCGGTTTAATGCAGGTAGTGTCAGAGAACCCTGAGCAAACTGGCAGCTCTCACAAACACCCTCCTGGGATCTGGTTTCTTTGCACACAGATTCCTGTCTCACAACTCACTACTCACAACTAACTCACAACTACCTCAGCATTGGTAACCAGGAGTATGGGGGAGCTCCAGTCGTTGTTCACGTCTGCATCCTTCCCGTGCGCGCGCACAGATGCAGTTTGTGCTGATGTTTCACTTGCAACCTGGAGCGTAAATATTAATAGGTATAATCTGCGCTTGGTTTTCGTAAGGCAAAGATTCTGCTCCTGATGAGGTCTGTTGGGGTGGGACGGGGAAGGCAGGGTGAGGGCTGAAGCTGCTGGAAGACTTCGCTCCCGGTGGCGCCTGCGCCGTTGGGAGCACTTGCCCCTGAGATGCAGTTGTTGGGCGAACGCAGCCTGGAAAACGTGCTTGAATTCTCTTCCCCTCCGCGTAAAGCCTGTGTTTTCCTGGCACGAACAACCCCTGTGAGTGTCGCTCTCACAGGGTGTGCGCAGCGGGGTCTGGGTCGGAAGGGAGGTGAAACCTCACCCAGCTCCAGCCCCCTTGCACTAGGGCAGGACCTGCCTGCTCGGGGGTGCAGACACGGGCTGTGCCGGGGTCAGCGCTGGGCATTGGGGCGATGCCGGGGCGCTGCCTGCGTTGCCTGTTTGTGCATAAACCTTTCTCAGCTATCGCTTCCAGCGCCGTCCTCCCTCTTCCTCCAGTCCTTGGCCCACGTCCCTTAAGTGATTCTTGCTCCTGTGGTTCTAGAAACCATCTCGATGATCTTTATCTGCTTGTGTTGTATCTCCCTTTACAAAAGTCACCCTAACCGGGCGTCTCTGAGGATTCCCCCTGGAGATCAGGATGGACGAGGACTGGAGCTCCTTCGGCAGCCGTGGTTCTTCCGTGACCCGAGAGCGCGGAGACGTCCTTGTTGGCGCTGGCAGGGAAGGTGCTTGGCAGCAGCTCTTCTTTAAGCACCAAACCTGTGGTAGCTCTTGGGAAGACAAACTAATTCGCAGCTCTCCTGTGGTCTTCATGTAGGTGAATCTGTCAGAGCAACAGGTCCTCGTGGCGCTGCTGGTGCCACGTGCCCAGCGTGCTCGCTCGTCGCACACCAGAAGCGTCATGAGGTTGTCGGAGCCTTTTTGGTGCGAGAAAGCACCTTAAAGCTCCCGAAACCGCTC